GCGTGTTTTCATGACTTTCAATAAAAGGAAAAAAATTGAGAGAGACTGATAACGGCTGTCAGAAGAGAGAATGATGTCAAATTGTCCATCCCTCCCATAGACGCTGCATTAGAAAGACCCTCGCATTAGCATTAACTGTTTTTTTGTAATTTGATGCAAAGGATGTAATTTATTTGATTTTAAGAGATTATGTAATTTAATGGATTTTAATGAAAAATTTAATCTTACTGTGAAATAATATGGATCTGTAAGTCATTTATATTGAGCCCAGTGTTACGGAAGCAAGTATAGGGAGAGTTTTGATTTCATGTTGACTTTAGCTTACCATTTCCTGTTGTTTTATGGTGTGATGCATTTTACGATTATGTATACTCTTTTCTGTTACAAAGACTTTTCTAACAATGTAAAATATTTAAAGTGGACCCAAAAAATTATTTGGACACCTAAGCAATGCATAAAAATATCTAAATTTCATTAGATATAAAACGTCAAACAATTGTCATTTACTGAAAAGAAATATAGTGTAAGCACACGTTGCAAGCAAACATTTTACAAACATTTGTTTTAGGCTTTAAAGAAATAGTTCACCTAAAGAAAGAAGATTTGCTGAAAAATGTACTCACCCTCAGGTCAACCAATATGTGGATGAGTTTTGATCCTTCATCGAAGAAATGTAGCATTACATCACTTGCTCAGCAGTGAATGCTCTGCAGTGAATGGGTGCCGTCAGAATGAGAGTCCAAACAGCTGATAAAAACATCACAATAATCCACAAGTAATCCACACCACACCACTCCAGTCCATCAATTAATGTCTTTGGAAGCGAAAAGCTGCATGTTTGTAAGAAACAAATCCATCATTAAGGCGTTTTTACTTCAAACTGTTAATTCTGGCCAAAATACGTGTCCATAATCCATAATAACGCTCCCTAGAAAAGTCCATCTCCTGCTGTCCTCTCATATCAAAATCCACCAACATATTTGTTCAGAAATGTTTCGGTTTTGGCTTATAAACTGTGCTTCATCTGTGCATATTTCTCTTTCTGATTCAGACGAGGCAACTTTTTCCACTGGAGAAAGTAATATTATGGATAGAGGACTCGGTTGATCATGGATTTGTTACATACAAACATGCAACTTTTTGCTTCACAAGATTAACTGATGGACTGAAGTTGTGTGGATTACTTATTCCTTAAAGTGATAAAATTAAGTGTTTGTTTTTGGTTAGTGGATCATTTTGATGATTAATGTAATTATCTACACCAGTGATTCCTCTCGTTGGACATCTGTGTAATATGTGTGAACATACATCCACTGAAAATCATCAAAACACCAGCTGAACACACTGACACTTCCAACACGATGAAGAAAATGTTGTCGTTAATGAAGAGAAAAGATCCTGCAGCATTTGATCCAGATACTTGATTTGCTATCATGTTATCTAATGAAACAACATTAATACATATTTAAATGTCCAAATATTTTTGGGATCACATCAGGTTTTGCCGCTCACCAGCTAAAAATGTTTGTTCTGTAATGACAGTAATGTTTTGATATCAAACAGGAGAGCAGTCAGTGACCTGAAAGACTAATTTCCTATTCAAGGACAAAATACGTTTTCTAGGAACATTGCTTTAGCCAGAACCAAATATAATTGCAGTGGTAATCACAGTCATTACAATCATAAACTCCCCTTTGAAAAACTGGCAAATCTTGGCAGAATTTTCTGAATAAACTAGATCAGAAAATGTCATTCATTCATTATCTTTCCAATATAATTAGGACTGAGTGATGTTGTGTTTGGAGTCTGATGGATTCTGGCAAATACTCCATCTCCTGCTGATGCCCTTGAGTCAAACGTTGCAGTGGTTGTTCAAGCTTGACAACCTTTTCACCTGAAAGGCCCCTGTAGACCGTGAGCTCCTGTTTTAAACAAACCTTCTCTGCTCTTTCTCTCCTTCTCTACAGAATGACTACAGGAAGCTATCTATGCAGTGTAAAGACTTTGTGGTTGGCGTTTTGGATCTGTGCAGGGACACGGAGGAGGTGGAGGCCATCTTGAACGGAGATATATCCGCCGAGCTCGAAGAAGGCCAGCGTCATCGCTCCCTGCTCAGTCGTGTCAAACTGGCCATTAAATACGAGGTTAAGAAGGCAAGTGTCCATCTAATGATGCCAGTGCAGGGATTACACTGCACTTTTAAGGATGTTTAGATGTTTTGTTTTGTTTTGTTTTTTTACAGGAAAACAAGAAAATTCTGATTATTAATTTATGTTGTATTTACACTACTAGTCAAAAGTTTGGAATAATTAAGTTATTTTTATGTTTTTGAAAGAAGCCTCACCAAGGCATTTATTTGATCAAAAATGCAGTAATACTGTGAAATATTATTAGAATTTAAAATAACTTTTTTAATTGGAGAAAAAAAAGTTAAAGGGATAGTTCATCCAAAAATTACCCCATGCTTTACTCACCCTCAAGCCACCCTAGGTGTATATGACTTTCTTCTTTCAGATGACTACAATCGGAGTTATATAAAAAAAATGTCCTTTCTCTTCCAAGCTTTATAGTGGCAGTGAATGGGTGGTAATATTCAATAGTCCAATAGAAATCCAATAAACTGCATCCATCCATCATAAAAAGTGTCCCTCACGGCTCCGGGAGGTTAATAAAGGCCTTCTTAAGCGAATCGATGCGTTTGTGTAAGAAAAGTATTTGTAATGTAAAGATAAACCATAATAAGATTAACCACTACGTGTGTTCACAAGAGAGTGGCATTCCAGTGGATGACGTATAGGACGTTATGAGTGGAACCACATCTCGCGAGAACCAAGTTCCCTTTCATGGGAACTTCGAACTGCGTCCTCTAGGGGTCGCTATGGGGAACGCCTCGTCGTGACCCGTGTCTGAAGCATACATTGAAAAAACACCAACTCGTTGGCCGGCGACAGCCATGACGTCACTACCGGTGCGACTATAGTATAAACAGGTGCCGGTAGCACACATCATTCTCTTCTTCGTCTTCATTGACTGTTTTGTTTGAAGCGTGCATTTCTGTGGTAAGAGCGATCTCTATTCATCTCATTATGGCGAGCACTAGCAAAGCGTTTAAGGATGTGTGCATCCGTGTTGACGTTGTTTAACATCTGATGACATACACGATTTATGCGTTATTTGTTTGGGCAAAGAGCACGCACGCGATGTCTCCGAGGGGGCAATCGGCGTGCACTGCGAGCGTGAATCTCAAGTCATATTTCACTCCAATATCAAGAGATAAATTAGAAATTAGAATTTTTTTCATATCATCAGCAAAGCCTATTTTAGCCTACATTAGCCTATATATACACTGCCATTCAAACGTTTGTGATCTGTAAGGTTTTTAATGTTTTTTTAGTCTCTTAAGGCTGTATTTATTTGATCAAAAATACAGTAGAAACAGTGATATTGTGAAATATTATTGCAATTTCTAATATCGAGTTCCTATTTTAATTTACTTTAGAATATAATTGTTCCTAGAGGACGCAGTGTCTCGTTCCTTACTCAGGGAACCATGGTTACATAAGTAACCTGAGACGTTTTGTTTACAGGAGTGAAGGAAAACCAGTCTCATCTTGGCTTATATTGAAATATTCAAACATTTTTCTTTATAAATCCTTATTTTGTACTTGTAATTCGTGGCTGGTGTTTTGTTTTGTTTTGCTCTCCTCTGCGCTTCCACGTTAGACACTTCTCACCGGAGCTTACGCTATGCCTACGTCCTACATCATCCGCCCGAACGCCACTCTGTAGTGAACACCAGTACGACAGCTGGACGCTAGTGATTACGGTTTATACATTTTTAAATATGGATATGAAATGTATGAAAATATGAAAAATATCCCCCATTCACTGCCATTATAAAGCTTGGAAGAGACAGGACATTTTTTTATGTAACTCCAATTGTATTCGTCTGAAAGAAGAAAGTCATATACACCTAGGATGGCTTGAGGGTGAGCAAATCAATAAAAATAAAAAAAAACATTTTTGAGTGAACTATCCCTTCAATACTTTTATTCAGCCATTAAATTGATCAAAAGCAACAGTAAAGACATCATTAAAATAAATGCTGAATATATACTCTTTCAAAAAATGTGTTCTTTTAAACTTTCTATTCATCAAAAAATCCTGAAAAAATTTATCCTGATTTACACAAAAATATTACTGTTTTAACATTCATAACTATAAGAAATATTACTAATAATTAAGTACCATTAATAATTATTGAAAATTATTCTATTATATGTATTATTTAAAATTGTAATTATATTTCCCATTATTCCTGTTTTGTTTTTTTTAAATCAAATAATTGCAGCCTTGGTGAGCAAAAGAGACTTCTTTCAAAAACATAAAATCTTAATTATTCTAAATATGTAGTGTTTTTGTTGTTGTTGTTGTTGTTGTTTTGTTTATTTTGCTGCAGTATTCAAAGCTCATCAGTGCACAAAAAGGATGTTTTAGATTATTTATTTTAAAGGGACACAAGAAAACAATACTGATTATCAATATGATTTCTGACAGAAATTGGCGAGAGTAATTTATGGCGTAGCAGAATGTGTATTCAGAGATAATCGTTAAAAAAATGCTCAAAGCAAATGTAATGATATAAATGGATTAATCTCATGCTTTTATACTAACAACACAGCTGACCACAATATGCATCGTTGGAGTTATAGCTGGAGCTGTAGTTATAAAATGACCTTGTCATTAGTGTTTATGAAAAGCTTATCTGCTAAAACATTATTTAGGATTGCCGAGGATTGGCGTTTGTTAAAGCTGCTTTGATTTACATTGACTGAGATTTTTGGGTGAAGGATGCCTTGGATTTTCACTGGGAATGGAATGACAAGAAGCAGAAAGAAGTAGATAAAGAGGACCGCAATTAATCACATGTATTTTATTGTGAAAGTGTGAATAATCCTCTTTGCCAACTTAGCTTAGTTTAATCACCAGACACACACGTCGTCCACTTCTCTCAAACACACAAACACACTGTCAGGGATGCAATCCGATGCAGCGTTAATCAGGCTAACAGCTCCAGCGTCACGCAGCCACCCTGACATAAAGTGTAATTTAAAGATGAGATTTCAAGAGCCCTAAACGCTCCCAGGAGGACGTGGAGTGTGAGGCTCTGGGTTGCGTTAGGAAATTAGTTTAGAGTCAACCGTCCACATTACGATGATTAATTCAACGGCCGCTGTGTGCATTTTCATGCCTGAGAAGTGCAGCCTGTTAGATTAAAAGTCATGCAGTGGGCGATGTGAATGGCTCTGCTGGCTGGTTGTATTGTCTCTTCAAACAAGAAATTTTTTTTGGTTCAAGCATATTGCAGTCATTACATTCTTCAAAGCAAACCACAGTAGACCTGTTGCAGTTTTTACATAAGGGCCTGATTGTTATTATGTGCAATAACTACGAGCATTTTGCACATTGCACATTTTGCTCATTTTATTCTCATTCTATTTCTTTCTTTCTGGCGTGCTTGGTTATAAAAACAATGGCGTGAGCCAAAAAGATAAATATTTCAATATTTATTATATTTGTTTACAAAGCCCTAAAGAAGTCATGCATTTTATTAGCTTCATATAAATTTGAAACAGTTTATTTTTATATTATTTTTGAGATATATAGTTATTGAAATATTCAATAGTAGCAATAAAATACTACTTAAATTTGAACTGAATTGAAACAATGAAAAACATTTTTATGAAAAATACGAAGTTACATAAATGTTAGGACACAACATTCTCTAAGTAATGTTTATGGAATGTTCTTATAACTTTATTAACATTTTATATACATTCTCATAATGTTGAGAGAAAATGTTCTAAGATCAATGTGTTATTTGTTCTTGATTAACATTCTAAAAATATTTTTTTGTAACCTTTAAATAAAATTATAATCATGACAAGAAAACTGGACATTTTAACAATCTTAGAATATTAAAAACAAATGTTCAAAAAACATTAGATTTTTGGTAAAAAATAAAGTTAAAGGTCCCATATTGTCAAAACTGAAATTTCCTGGCTTTTTTCACGATAACTGAGGTCTAGGGGCTATTTAACTACCATATAAGTTTCAAAACACTCAGTCCACAGTAAAATGCATACAGCCTGCATAAAGTAGCTGTGATTTTTCACGAACCGTTGTGACTTCCGTAAAAAGTTGACGTCAGAACTACACAGTCACTGCCTTCAGTCACCACCCCGAGCACCGCCCACAGTCCCACTCTCCTTTTGCCAAACCCCCAGACAACATCGCGTCCATGCCATTGCTGAGCAATGACAACACGGAAACATGTCGAAAAGGTTAACTTTAACCACGAAACCAGATCGGCCGACCTGTAACGTACACTCTCACTCAAAGGATGGACGATCTGACAGGATTGTTATACATTAATACATATACATATATATATATATTTTTACAGCTACATTATTGTTCCAGCCACAATTAATCACAACAATGTATATACAATTACAAATGATTATATATAAATCGTCAGTTTGTTGTTT